GATTCTTTGACTTAAGTGCACGAGTAATTATTGAATCTAATGATGTTGATTTTTATGAGGACAGGTTTCCTTTTAAATCTAGAAATAGTGGGGGCTCGTCCTCCTCTATTATTCCTAAAGACAGGTCTAACTCACAAGACTTGGATGCTGAACCCGAACTAAGAAAGAGCAAGCGGGCTAGAGTAGCTAAAGACTTCGGCCCAGACTTTGTAGTTCTGAATGTAGAGGAGGATCCTTCTACCCTCCAAGAAGCTCTAACCTCAGTGGATGCAGATTTATGGCAAGAAGCCGTGAACGACGAAATGGACTCACTTGAGTCTAATCGAACTTGGCATCTAACTGAGTTGCCACCAGGCTGCAAGTCAATTGGTTGCAAATGGGTCCTAAAAAGAAAGCTGAAAGTTGATGGGACCATTGATAAGTTCAAAGCCCGTTTGGTAGCTAAAGGCTACAGACAAAGGGAGAATGTTGATTTCTTTGATACCTATTCACCTGTAACTAGAGTAACATCTATTAGAGTATTAATATCTCTTGCTTCTGTTTTTAATCTTGTAGTACATCAAATGGATGTGAAGACTGCATTCTTGAACGGTGAATTGGAAGAAGAAATCTACATGGATCAACCGGAAGGATTCATTGTTCAAGGAAAAGAGCATCTGGTATGTAAGCTAGATAAATCTCTTTATGGTCTCAAACAAGCACCTAAACAATGGCATGAAAAATTTGATAACTTAGTCATCTCACATGGTTTTAAGATAAATGGTAGTGACAAATGCATATATGTAAAATTTGAGAAGGACATATGCACTATAATTTGTCTATATGTGGATGACTTGTTAATTTTTGGCTCGAACATTCATGCTGTGAATGATGTAAAGCTATTGTTGAATGCTGAGTTTGATATGAAAGACCTAGGAGAGGCTAATGTAATCCTTGGAATTAAGATTACTAGGACAGAAAATGGAGTTTCTTTGGATCAATCTCATTACATTGAGAAGATCCTAAAGAAATATAGTTACTTTGACTGTAAACCTGCTAGTACACCTTATGATCCCAGTGTTAAATTATTTAAGAACACTGGTGATGCCGTAAGGCAATCTGATTATGCGAGCATCATTGGCAGCCTTCGGTATGCCACTGATTGTACTAGACCCGACATTGCCTATGTCGTGGGATTGTTAGGCAGGTTTACTAGTTGTCCTGGTAATGAGCATTGGCATGCTATTGAAAGGGTCATGAGATACCTTAAGAGGACCATGGACCTAGGGTTGCATTATGAAAGGTTTCCAGCTGTACTAGAAGGCTATAGTGATGCTGACTGGAACACCTTATCAGATGACTCTAAGGCTACTAGTGGATATATTTTTTCTATAGCCGGTGGAGCTGTATCTTGGAAGTCTAAGAAACAGACTATTTTGGCTCAGTCCACCATGGAGTCAGAAATGATAGCACTAGCTACGGCTAGTGAAGAAGCAGGTTGGTTAAGAGGCCTGCTAGGTGAAATTCCCCTATGGGAAAAGCCATTACCGGCTGTCTTGATCCATTGCGATAGTACCGCGGCTATTGCAAAAGTTCAGAACCGTTATTACAACGGTAAGAGACGACAAATACGTCGTAAGCACAGCACTGTGAGAGAATATCTCTCTATCGGAGCTGTTAGAGTGGATCACGTACGCACTGAGAATAACTTGGCTGATCCTTTGACGAAAGGATTAGCTAGGGAGAAAGTCCATTTTTCCTCTAAGAAAATGGGACTATTGCCATTGAAATGAACCACACATAATGGTAACCCAACCTATGAACTGGAGATCCCAAGAAATAGGTTCAAAGGGTAATAACAAGTTATGGTGTGTTATGAGTTGAATATGTTCAAAAGACATAATTTCCTGAAGCGATCAAGGATGAGTTAATAGGAACTCTTAATGAAATCTATACTCCAATTTGGAGTGGAGTACCAAGCTACAGGAGTACTCTTGATAGATTCACCTATGTGAATGTGGAAGTGAGGCCGCTTCCTATGAAATGTGTGGCAGCATTTCTAGAGCATTCACTACACTGGGATAGACGTGCATGGCCGAAATAGCACGGGTCTAGAACAACACCAAGAGTAGGTTGTGTGTGGTACGTTGTCAGAGATAGGGTTCAAAACTTCGAGTCACCCTTGTTGAATCTGAATCGTACTCACTACGTCGAAGTTCAAGTTGAAAAACACTTCTGTTTATGCGCAACCTATATATATATGGATTCTGCTCGAAAATGTTTTCAAAAAATTCAAGTGGGGGATTGTTGGAACAACAAGTGTGTGTGTAGTGTGTGAATTTTGTGAAAAAACTCAAAGTCCCACATTGGTGGGAAATGAGAGTTTTACTCTCTTTATAATATAGAGAAGTGGGCTAAAGGGGTGTGGCCCTTGGGCTACCCACATTTTGTGGAGAGGGAGGACCTATATGGTAAACCATCTATCACACACACGCGCGCCGAACCGAACCGAGCCGAGCCGGGCCGGGCCGGGCCGGGTTGGGTTGGGTTGGGTCGGGTCGGGTTTATTAAATAAACTTATTTTTTGGACAAGGCTAATTGCGTGATTAGTTCCTTGATTTTTGCTAAACGTTTTTGACTGATTACATTTGACCGTTTTTTCAAAACTGATTAATGGAGCGTTAATCATGCAAACGTTTTCACTGATTTTTTGCTAAACGTTTTGCCATGCATTAATCTTCTGTAACCGTTTTGAACGTTCAACTTATGACCGTTTTAATTGCGTGATTAGTGCCTAATTAAACAGCAGCAGTTACGTTGCAATTTTCCTATAAAAGGCGTGTTGATTTCCTGTTTTTAATACACAAAAAAATACAGGAAGCAATCTTCTTCTCCTCTCTATTTTTCCTCACAAAAACAAAACCCTCGAGCAGTTTCTTTTCTTTTTTTTGGTGTTTAGTTGCCCGGTGGTTTTGTGCAGTTCCACCGGTATAATTACAATAGAGAAAGGCTGTTTTATCCTGGGGAACATCCGGTTGTTGTACGAGCTGCTTGCACAAATTGAAGGGTAGTACCGTGAATGTTCTAAAGAGAGCGACATAGTCCGCGACTCAGTCTATTTCCCGGTAACTTTGTTCTGTTTTTATTGTTTACAGCAGTTCGGTTTATAACAGGTATATTGGCTGCCAATCTCATCAACTACTTTGCACTAGGAATGGGGGAGAAAGGATGGAGGATTGCTCTAGGACTTGCCGGTGTACCGGCTTTAGTGATCACTTTGGGAAGCTTGATCTTACCAGACACCCCAAACTCTCTAATTGATAGAGGCCACCAAGACCAAGCAAGAGATTTGTTGAAGAAAATTCGCGGAACCGAGAACGTTAAAGAGGAGTTTGATGACATTCTTGAAGCATATGAATTGTCTAAACAAGTTAAAGAACCATGGACCAACATTATGCAACGTCACAATAGGCCTCAACTTACCTTTGCTATTATCATCCCTTTTTTCCAACAAATTACTGGGATTAATGTCATCATGTTTTATGCTCCTGTCCTCTTTAAGACTATTGGGTTTGGCAATGATGCTTCTCTCATGTCGGCTCTTATTACCGGGGTTGTCAATGTCGTCGCCACCATTGTCTCCATTGTTTGTGTTGATCGCTTCGGTCGTAGGGCTCTCTTCATCCAAGGTGGTCTTCAAATGATTATTACTCAGGTATGTCACATATTTATATAGTATGTACTCCCTTAGTCTCAATTTAATTGTCACACGTTTCTAATTTAAAGGACGCACTTGCATATTTAATTTGCACGTTTTTTTGAGTAACAGAGATTTACTGATTTTTTTTTTTTTGTTTGTAGGTGATTATTGGTGTAGTTCTTGGCCTAAAGTTTGGAGTGACAGGGGTCGGAACAATAGACAAAACAGATGCTAATATCTTAGTAGCATTGATATGCATCTATGTTGCGGCATTTGCGTGGTCATGGGGTCCTTTGGGATGGTTAGTTCCTAGCGAAATCTTCCCTTTGGAGACTCGATCAGCAGGACAAAGTATCAATGTTTCCGTCAACATGTTGTTCACCTTCATTATCGCGCAGTGTTTCCTACACATGTTGTGTGCCATGAAGTTTGGTCTCTTCTTCTTTTTTGCTGGTTTCGTCATCATCATGACAATCACAATCTTCTTCTTCTTGCCCGAGACCAGAAATGTCCCTATTGAAGAAATGTATGCTGTGTGGAAGGCACATTGGTTCTGGGGATCATTCATCCCTGATAACTTGGTTGCCCATCATTCTAATAAGAATGCTGAAAAAATGCTTAATGCTTAATGCTCAAGGAAAGTAAAAATTTCATGGTTGGTGTTCATTTATTCAAGTCATTTTTTATAAGTTAATTTGTGTTCAACATTTTTGTAAAGATCGAACTAAATTACAAACAATGATCAAACTATAACATTTCTTATTATAAATCATTGGACTACAACATACTGATATACAAGACAGGAAAAAAAAAATCGTGAACCAAACACAAATTTTGGCCTTCTGATCTACCCCTTCTTCACATGCCAAGGACAAAGGTATCGTGTCAACACATGGACAACCTTAACTATTTCCCTTTGTACTCAACAAAATGATCAATCTATTAGTTGAAAAAATTAGTGAAATGCGTATACATGTCATGACTCTCTTGGCCTTTTTTTCTATTAGTGCGAGATTAATGCTTACATTAAATTTGTATTCTAAGAATGATCCATTAATTTAGATTCTTTTGTAGATGTGTTATAAGTATATATGAAGTATATTTTATTAATTAAACAAATTTTGTCAAAATGTAATGTTGAAATTAATGGGATTGTTGAAATAAGATTTACGTAGTATAATATGAATAAGTTTATTTGTCACTAGGTATAATTGTATAAATAAATATAAATAGTCAAAATACATGTAAAAAAATGTCAAAATATGACGTAAATGTTAATATACTCCATAATACATTTAAAAAAAATGACATAATAGTAAAAATAATTGTAATCTTGCATTGAAAATTAAACTAGTACGAAGTAGGAGATTAACTTTCTTCGTTTTCTTTTGCTTGACCTGCTTAAATTTCACAAACTACATAGTACATGCGGAGTAAAAGAAGTTAAATATATACAAATATAAAATAAATAAAAAATAAAAAAGTCAAAGACGAAAGTAGCCCGTAGAACCTTCCGTATGCGCAAGTCAAAGTAGACAAGAATAGAGTATTCGAGTTAGCATCTGAGTTCTACCACACATCAGACAAAAATCTAGTATCTTCCAGAATTCTGTAGCATTTTTTATTTTATTATTCAACAATAAAATTCCCCAATTACTACAAATTCGACCCACAAAAATTCCCAAAATATCTCTCTCTTCTTCAAATCAAAAACCCCAATTTCTATTTCTTCACCAATTTCCTCAATTTTCTCCCTCCTCCCACAAATTTTTCGATCAAATGTCGTCCGCCGGCGTAGCGGTGGCGCCGCCGCAATCGTACTTCTGTTACCAATGTAATCGCACCGTAACCCTAACTCCGACGCCGAATTCCGATCTCTCTTGCCCTAATTGCAGCGGTGGATTTCTCGAAGAATACGATTCAATTCCGCAAAACCCTAACCCTAATCGTCTTTTCGGTTCTTCTGCTGCTGCTGTTTACCCTGATCCTTTCTCTCTATTCGCCGATCCCCTTTTCACCACCGCCGTCTCTCGTGGGCCCGGCGGGCTGGGTGGGCCCGCTGTGTTCTCTTCGACGACGATTGATTTGCAAAACCCTAGAAATTTCTCACCTTTTATGTCACCTTCTTCGGGTTCTCCTGCTTTTAATCCGTTTGATTTTCTGCAGAATTATCTTCAGCAAAGTGGTGCTAATGTTCAATTTGTTGTTGAGAATGATCAGGGTGATCCGAATTTCCGGCTTCCGACCAATTTTGGTGATTATTTTTTAGGGCCGGGTCTTGAACAGTTGATCCAGCAGCTTGCTGAGAATGATCCGAATCGATACGGGACTCCCCCGGCTTCGAAACGGGCGATTGATGGTTTGCCCAATGTTGTGATCACTGCAGAGGTTGTGAATTCGGATTCTAATTCGTGTGCTGTTTGTAAGAATGAATTTGAGGTTGATTCGAGTGCAAAACAGATGCCCTGCAAACACTTGTATCATTCTGATTGTTTGATCCCTTGGCTTCAGCTTCATAATTCTTGTCCTGTTTGCCGGTACGAGTTGCCTACCGATGACCCGGAATACGATAATCAAAGGGCGGGTGGTGGACAAGGTGGGAACTCTGAAGGGTCTTCAGAGAGTGGGAGTGGAAGTGGTGGATCGCAGGGAGAAGGTAGAAATAGTGAGAGGAGGTTCAGGATCGCGTTGTCGTGGCCTTTTAGGATGTTTGGTGGCTCTGAAGGGAATAATGGTGGTGATAATGGCGGTCCGGGCTCGGGGGCTCAGCAAGGTGGTAGTGGTGGTGGGGGTTGTGATCATGGTTCAGAGCCAAGGCATGAAAGCTTGGATTGAAGTTAAGAAAGGTACAATTTTTAATGTACCTTTTTCTATCTTTCTCCTGCATTTTGGTTCTTGGCTTTGTGGGTAGATAGTTGTGAAAATTCTATACTGTAATTGACATTATATTAGGCTAAATTTTTTATGGGTGATATGTAGTGGAGAAGCTGAAATATTCTTAATATTAATTAATAACATGTCTCTAATGATTTGGAAGCATTCAGTAATGTTTTAGCTCAAAGTTGTGTAGGGTAAACATTATTTAGGAGTAATGCATTTGTTTCCTTATTCAATTCTTCGTATTTGGTTAGTCAAATTGATATAATAAAAATTTGTTACCATTTTTAATTTCTAAGCCACTTTTATGTCACAAAAACCCTTATCAACCATTCTGCTTGCTTGCTTGCTTACTTACAAAGTTACAAGTCTTTTGATGCTATCATGTCATTGGCAATGAAATTGGGATATGATTCTGAACTTTGCCTTGGACTCAGATTAGCTCGCTATATTTGCAAAATTCTTAAAACAATATATTGAAAGATGCTTACACCAATTACAACTCTTTAAAAAACTGATAGTAGAGTTTGTTGCTAGTGTCTAGTTGTCTACTGCATATGCTTGTCCTGGTTGATTGTGTTGTATGAATTTTTAGGACTTTCTGTTAGTAACACAGCAGCCATTACATCATTGATGTAAATCGTCATGCTACATCATTGAGTTCAACAATGTGGTTTTTCCAAATAATACTTTTTTATGGACTCATAGATCTATGGCATTATCAAACTATCAGGACATGTTGGCTTTTTCATTTTAAGTATGTATTGTCTACAGCTGCTAGCCAGCCACAATATCGCAGAGAGAGGGGTTTGACATTTGGAAATCCTCCTGGCTCATTATATGCGGGTCATCTAGTGTTTCATGTCTTTTTATTTTTGCTTCATTATATGGTCATAGATTTCATTGGGGTTGATCATATCAGAGTATACTCCATTGTTATAAATCTTAAACATTAAAGTTCTGTGCAGGTTTATGGCCAGAGCTTTGTAATTTGATTGTAACTCTCTCAAGCTCATTTTTTGCAAGACTTTCGAGGAGGGTGCTGCACTTTGTGGACATAATTTATCTTATATATGTTTGATACACATCAATTTAAGGTTAGATTGGTAGCAAAAGGTTGCTAGAGAAGGAAGAGTGTTTTCAGTGTCGATATTAGCTGTTACTATTTGGTCACTTTTGTTTGTACAAAATTGTATTTGAAATCAAATTGGCCTAATATTAAAACTGATATTGTGACATTCCATTAGTTATATTGACTTTGTGCTGAAGCTTTGATCTACTTCTTTGAGAACGAGTTAATGATGAACAACGTTATTGTAATTTTTAGTGTGAATATTACTGCATATTATAGCGCAGTTATGCTACTGCATAACCCGGGCAGGGAGTGTTGGACAGCAACTCCAGCCCAGCCAGCTTTATGGTGAAGCTGCACAATTTTGTTCTCTGTTGTCTGCGCATCAGCTATTAACTCTTACCGCTTTTGTGTATATAATGCACTTCATCAATATCTTGTTTTGGGTTTTTGAGTTTGTCAAGTATACAAAGTATGAGATTATGCTCAAACCTTTCACTCGTCTTCTATTGAAGTATCCAATGCTGAAGATAGAAGTGATTTTTGTGCTTATCTTTATTTTTTCTGGTAGGAACGTATACGCCTACATGATTATGAAGGTTCCCTTATTTTTAAGGGATTGTACATTCGCTAATTGTCCCTTGAGATGCCTCAAATTACGACAAGGCTTTTAGTCTTTTACTTATATTTTTCTTACTATAGCATCACTATTTCAGGAGTAAGCTTTGGAATGGTTTTAAAATGTCCTGCTTCTTTGCTGTAATGTCTTAAGATCTCCTCCTCCCCCCCCCCCCCAATAACAAGAGCACCCTGCCTCTAGTAGATACCAAGTATATCACTAGACACAAGTCTTGCAAATACGTAGACACGTAGTATTTTAATTTGTACTACTATATACAAGTATGAGGGTAAATGTATAAAAAAATTCTGTATTGAAAATAAGAAGAGTTGCAATTGAAACGTAACTAACAAAGCAGGAATGTAAGATGCCTATAATGACAAACATAACTATCATTTTAGAAATGAATGGAGTAGTAATAAATAATAATGATAATGTCCATGTGATGTTGTGATGCACTAATAAAATACGTGACATAATTTAATTTTTTATCAATAGAATGATTTTTAAAATAAATCAAATTATACAGTATGTTTAAAAGTGCTCGTATTTTCCCTATATTTTGTTTGAGATGCAAGATAGAAGGACAAGGAAGGAGAGAAAGGAAAAGATGGGGAAGTGGAAGGAGGAACATGGAGCTCAGTTTTTCACTTCGATTTTCTCCAATTTTAGAGAGATGGTGTAGTTTATTAATAAGGGAAGAGAAATAGATATCTCTCTCTCCCTCCTAAACCTTTTTTAATCCATACAAAAGGACATGTTTCTATTTATTTTATTATCTACCCTTTTCTAGCCAGACCATCTCTTCTTTTAATCATTTACAAGGTGTTAAATTTAAAGAGAATACAAAATGAGACCAGTCAATCACTTAATTCAAACTAAGTGGAGGAGAATTCAGTTCACTTACAAACTTAAAGGAGATTTTATAACAAAATCAATTGGTTATAATAGGACCAACTCTTCAATTACCTTGCAAGGTGACACTTTCTCTTCCCTTTTTTCAATGTGATACAATTCACGAGTGGTCTACAGTGCCAGTGGCGGATCCACGATGGGTTCAACTATTCAAGCGGGTTTAGTGAACCCATTGTGAATCTGTAAAAAAAGGGTTAAAATTAATTTGTGTGCATAATTGCAGGTGAAAACATAGCGCAGCTCACTGGTAACTAGTGTTTGTATTGTCCTCTTAGGCTGTGTGGTCAGGTGTTCAATTCTAGGTAGGCTTATTTTTTTAGCTTTTTAGTAAAAAATATTCCTTTTTGCTTTTTAGTAAAACTTTTTTTCCTTTTTGCTTTTTACTCCGTAGTATTTTTTTCCTTTTTGCTTTTATCACTTTACTAAACCTCAATACCCTTTTTATATTTTTTTTCCCCATTTGATTCAATTAATTCACTAAATCCCAATACTCAAAATATCAAATACCTTTACTTTTACTACTCTCTCTCCCTAACTTAATTCTACAAAGTATATGAAAACCCGAATTCATTTGTAGACCCTTTTCTAACCGTATTCCATTGTATTTAGTTTTCAAAATTCAAACGTATGTATTAAAGTTATAATTTATACTTCCTACGTTACTTTGATTATTCCTTTGCAAAAATTTATATAATCAAGTGGGATCTTGTTAGATTTACTTGAAAAATACTTTCATGATATCAAATTTTTATAAATTTTACCAAAATTTAACTTAAAATGTTTCAATTGTAAAATGCACCTTAACCGCATTGACAATCATTAAATCATCAACATTGCAATTTTGAAAGGACCTTTAATGATTTCAAACCCATACTTCTGAAATTCTGGATACGCCACTGTACAGCGCAGTTTCAACTCTCCCCTCACTTGTGAGTGTCATAAAAAATTCAAAGGTTAATCCTTAAGTGTTGCCATTGAATTAACAATGTTCCGTGTTTAACTTCATAATAAATTACTTAAACATGCCAACCATGTAAATTTTAAAATAACAATATAATAACAAAGATTGATGTTCTTCTTCCACCGGCCAAAAGCTTATTATAATCACTAGCTACAAAACTCCATTCATTCTTATTAGGAAAGGTTATGGAGTTGATTTTGGTGGAGGGACCTCGTCTCGGCCTCCATATAAACGTTGAGAAAACGGAATTTTCTGACCCACGTAGCCGTCTGGTCGTATCTTTCCTCCAGATATTGCTCGTCATGTACATGGTGTTAAGTTGCTTGGTGGTCTTGTCAGTGCGGATTCCTCTTTTTGTGGTGAGCTTGATTCACAGAGAGTGTCGAAGACCATTGTGCTAATGGATGCTGTTGCTAAGCTTGATGATCCCCAATGTGAGTTGTTACTTCTTCGTGCGTGTACTGGGGTTTCAAAACTCTTCTTTTCTATGCGCACTTGTCCTCCTCGTCTTTTGGAAGCAGCCCAAATTTCTTTTGATGTGGCCCTTCGAGCTTCTTTGAAACGCATTGTAACTGCTTCGGAGCCAGGATTTGGTGACTTGCCACCTTACCTTTTTCTTATGGTGGATTGGGTGTCTATTCAACGGGTGATGTTCGGCACTATGCTTTGCTTGTGTCGCGTTTGTAGTCTTCTAGTCTTCAGGCTTCGCCTCTTCGCAATTCTGGTATTGTTGGTCCAGGACCGGCCTTTAATGGTGCTCTTAGTCTTTTTAATAGGACGTGGAGACTGACCTTATGCGTAACCCTAGTGAGATCGCTACCCCAAACTCATGATGAAATTGGCAGATATATATTTCACGAAGGTCACTACATCTGTAGAATCCACTTTCTCCTTATCTCCGCGTCAGGTTACCTTATGGAATCTTAGCAGGGGGATCACGCTTCTGCCTGGTTGCGAGCGGTCCTAACACCCAGGTTTGGGTCAGACTATGAATGGTAAGACTTACCATTGTGTTCTTTGCTACCAGTTGGGTGTTCCCTTGTTCTCCATTTCGACACCGTGTTCTGCTTGCTCAAAGGTTTTTGATGGGGATATTTATGGGGATCATGCAGTGTCTTGTGCTGGGATGGTGGGTATTAAGCATCGGCACAACTTTGTTCGTGATACCCTTGTTGACATTTGTTTTCGCTCTGGGATTTCTGCAAGAAAGGAGGTTAACGTTGGGTTGACTGGAGGGAACGACGGGACTCTTCGACCAGCAGATGTGTTGCTTTATTCCTGGGATATAGGCCTTGATGTATGTGTTGACTTAACGGGGTCTTCTCCTTTGACACAATCTGGGTTGTCTGACTTCGTTCTTGGCCGTGTTGTGTCGGCTGCGGCTCAGCGGAAGCGAGACAAGCATGGGGCGCGTTGCAGGGCTATTGGCTATGGTTTTCTTCCTTTCTCCTTTTTTCATTGGGGGAATTAGAGAAGGATATTGTTGCGTTGCTGAAGCGGGTTTAGGCGTTCGTTAGGACTCAGAATATTGGTGCTCGTGCAGCTGCTCACATTTTCAACAGGATCGGGATCGCTATAGCTAGAGGGGTGGGGGCCCAGATTGTATCCCGTTTCCCAACTAATTTCTTATAAATCGTTTGACTTTATAGGTTTTTGTTAATAATAATAATAATAATAATAATAATAATAATAATAAGTATTTATTTAATGGTAAAAAGTATTAGAAAATACTTTCTCAAAAAAAAAAGGTATTAGAAAATAGAGTATATAAAATGTGAAATAATCGATTGTTTTTTTTTTTATTTTTTATGCAATGAAATAATCGATTGTAATGGGTGTAATTATATAAAAAGGCTAATGGGTTGAGTAGTCATGCGTTAGGTCGTACGGACATGGACCCTTTATGAGTTGGTGTTATCACAATTCATAACAATAATAATAAAAACAATAATGGGGAATCTATTTTGCAACTTGATGGGTTTTGGTTGGGCTACAACCTCCCATGTATTCAAGGCAACAGTTTTAAATCTGACCATATAAAAATAAAATACATTATTAAACCATGATTTTATGAAGGCAACAGTTTTAAATCTGACCATATAAAAATAAAATACATTATCAAACCATGATTTTATGTTATTGTTGGCCAACAATCTGCGACATTTTAGTACCTGCCATCTATATTTTACACAAATCCAAGAGATTATTGGAAATTTTAATTAAATCTTAGTAGACCATACTATTTAATTATCGTACACTTTAATTTAGACCTAAATAAAATAAATTAAGATCATCGAACAATTCCTCTCATTGTTTTTATATTATAAGATTTCAAAATTCCAATTCCTCAAGAAATGTAATTAATAAGGCTATACATATAATACAAACCTTTATGTTTGTTTGCGTTAGGTAGAAGTGTTAGTATATTGTCGTGTACCAAAGGATATATTTATATGTATATATGATACAAGTATCAATAGTTTGTTATGTTCACCTTATTTTCACTTATTAAAATAAGTTTTGATGAATTTTAATAAGAAAAATTCAATAAAATAAGCTATATTAAGGGTAGCTAAGTTCAATTTACATTTAAGATAAGTTGAGATAAGATACAATATGACACACCCTAAGACTAACTATGAGATTATGACTAACATTGATCTATCCTTAGTATATCCATTCTAATTAAGACCGCTTTATGGTACTACTATGCAACTGTCTTCCCTCAATTATTTAGGTATTTGAGAGTTGAT